AAAAAAAAAAAAAAAAAAAAAAAAAAGAAAAAAAAAGAAAAGAAAAAGAAAAAGAAAAGAAAAAGGCACCCACCCACCCCACCCCGAGAAAACTAATCATCTGTCAGGTTTACAATAACGTGGAAACTACCAATGAAACAAATTGATGATAAAAAAAAAGGTATTTTAATTCCCATATAACTGTAGTTCAAACTCATCTCAGCTTCAATCAGCAAAAACAATGTCTTCACATCGTGTTACTGTTTACTGATGGAAAGGACAACAGTAAAGCTCGTCTCTTTCAATACATACCAACTTGGATCAGATGGAGCACCGTTAAGATTCTGTCCATCAAAGCATAGCTCAAGGCTATCACACAACTAGCATAATTTAGTTACCTGATATAAAATAGGAAAAATATACTCCTTTTAAAATGAAACAAAGCTGAAGAATATGGTGACCCTCAATTGGTTTTTATACAGTACTGTCACACTGGCCTAGCTATGTGTTATGGTAAATGCTCTGCATATTTACTCGCTGTGACATAACAGCACATCAGATGGATTGTTCTGATGATTGCCTGAACTCGTTTGTCTTCGGCTAGACAACACACAAGAGTTTAAGATAAAGATGTAATGCCCTCCCCTCCCTACGAAAGAGGCCTGAAAATCATTGGTACAATATTACAAGCTTAAGAAAAAAAATCCACATCGCTACAAAAATTCAAGTTTAAATGCCTTATAGAAAATTTGAAATAAAGAGCATAGGGAGCAGATCATCCTGAAAAGTACACAACTCAAGGAGCGTTGTTTTGCTTTGGACTTTGTTTCGTTTTCCTTTTTTAAAAAAAGAAAATCCAGCAAATTAAGTCAAATGCAAAAGAGTTAAATGTAACTGGTTTATATTAAATGCTAGCAATATCCCATTAAATACAAAAGAATAAAAAATAGTTTGTGTTCATTTTAAGTGACGAACGATGGGCACAAGAGCCTAGTGTCCAATTTATATCACATCAACTAGCCAAAAAGCGGACAAGAAATTATATATCAAAAAGTTGTTTAATATGACACTTTCTCCATTCCTTGGACTTTTATTTTGTAGGACTGAGGTATACAGCAGGGAAGTAAAAAATGTGAAGGGGGGGAGCCTTAGAGGGGGAAAGGAGCTTTATTACAGATGCTTTTTAGTATGACTGTCTCTGACTAAGTGGCAGAAGAGCAGCCCATGCTCTGATCAGTCTGTTCCTTTGAGAACCGGTCATTTCTCCTGCAAGATTGCTCTGGAACTGTTAAGTCAATAGCAACTTTCTTGAAAATTCAAAACTGTGAGGAAATAGACTAAATTAATGCCATTATTAACTTCTCCAGTGCTTATCACCTGTACCACCTGCTGGCTTAAAGCCAAAACTTTTAAAACCAAATTTCAATAAATTCTTGGCATTATCCATGATGCATATTTAAGTAATTGGCTTTCACCTATCAGCATATGGGAGAGGTAAAGTTTGTATGGCAAAGACATGCTTGTGGAAGCAAGCCCACTAGCCCAAATTAGCATTACTGGTTCACTAGAAGTATGAGTGGATTTGGGGATGCTGTCTTTGTACTTCCACACCAAGTTGCAATCTTCATTCATGTTAACAGATACATGAATGTGTAATGTAAGTACAGTTACTATATCTGAATAGGACCCAAGTAGCTATATCCTATAAATAATAAAAAATACATTTTTCTTTTGATAACTGACTGTAGATGTGAGGACTCTGTATAATTCAACCAAACGGTTGTATGCTGTACAGTCCTGTGCAAATATCATAAAAAATTAATAATCCTTTTTTTTGCTATAAGGCTTTGACCCTACATTTTTCACAGCAACTTAACTACCATCCAGCCTGTACCATATCTCACAAGCCTTCAGTCCAAAATTCAAATAGTCAAATAGTCAATCCATACAGTGTCCATCTGCAGCACCCTGAAGTCATATGCTCTCGTCAGTCATCTAAAGGCATACAAACTTCACCAGATTCATCCCATCGAGACTGGTCATTCTGTTCTTCTACGTCATCACCAAGCTCTTCATCACCTTCTCCCACTTCGTTTTCTTCATATTCTTCATCCCTAGGGAAATCTGTGTCCTGCACCTGGTCTGCTCCCTCTTGCCCTCCAGGCTGAGATTTATCTGCACAGTCTACACAAACTCCATAGCGTCGAGATCCGTGTCTTATTCCAACACTGGCTGCTAGCATGAAGATCTTCTTACATACCATGCATTTATACTTTTTATCCTTTTTATGCACCTATGGAGAAGAAAAATCAACAGCTGAAAACACATGCATCACACTAAAATACCACTAATGATAATTACTAATAAAAAAATCACGTAGTATCAACTCAATATTGTTCAGAGAAAGAGCACTACTAGAGTCTCATTTCCACTTGAGCTATTCCCACAACCAACCACCACCTTACTGTTCAGCACACAGCTAAACAGCTGCCTGTTCAACAAGCAGTCATTGGCCACTCACTGCTCAAAGCCACTGAATGGCACAGAAGACAACACAAGTTTATGCTGCACACAGTACCATAACAGACATGCTGTCCATTTAGAAAACTACCTTTACAATATTAAGCTCCAGAACCACCACAAACAAGAGTTTAAATTCTGTGGGAAATGGAAGAGCATTCCATCTCCCTACTCCCACTAGCCAGTCAAGCAAAGCCAAGTCTAATATCTTTTCACTCCATTTCCACTTTCTTCCTTAGGGTGAGCCTGCATACAAAGTTGAACTACTGTGGACTAACTTGAGGAAAATAAACCTTAATATGTAGCCAATTAAGCAAGTGTTACAAAGCTGTGCTTTTACGAACAGGGAAGAATGAACTAAGAGAACTAAGAGAACTAAGTAACTAAGAGAAGAACAACATAAAATTAGGCCAAGATACAAAGTACTTTAGTCCTTCCTAATATCTACAGCTGATACAGGATGTATTTTTCTCCAGCACCTAGGCTTGTTACCATACTGTTTTACACAAAGTAAAATTCTTTAGATGTTCCTTGTGGGAGGTGGGGGAGGAATTGGTTTTCTGAATCCACTGTGCACTGCAGGTTAAACACAGAACTGAACTGACTCTACAATGATTTTCACCTTGCTTGACTTCATCTTTTCGGGAGGAAACATCTTTACCTCAAGACCTGGTCAGATACTGTAGGACAGAAAACTGAAGTGCCACTGTACTGGTCCTGTTACAAGACCTACAGGGTACTGCTGCTACCTCCTGGAGTAAGGCACCTCCACGGTATCACCACCAAGGCAATAGTGACCTTACTTCCCCTACCGAGTCACAAAACTGCTCCATGCCATCATCACCTCCATCACCTATACACGATACAGGACAAGGTTCTTCAGACTCGGTAGCCCCTGATGTCCTTCCTCCCTTCATGGACTTATGTCTTCACCAAGTTATAACAGGGGAGCAGGATGAGAGGGAGCAATTTCATGGTGGAAACATATTTAAGGTGAGAGAATTCAAGTGGAACGTAAGGAACACTGGTTCTAAGATTTACTTCATAACTATTAACATGAACTGTTCCACAGGTAGGCACGTTAAGAAATCTGAAAACTACTATTTATCAGAATCACAGAATGGCCTGGGTTGAAAAGAACCACAACGATCATCCAGTTTCAACCCCCTGCTATGTGCAGGGTCACCAACCAGCAGACCAGGCTGCCCAGAGCCACATCCAGCCTGGCCTTGAATGCCTCCAGGGATGGGGCATCCACAACCTCCTTGGGCAACCTGTTCCAGTGCCTCACCACCCTCTGTGTGAAAAACTTCCTCCTAATACCTAACCTAAATCTGCCCTGTCTCCATTTAAAACCATTCCCCCTTGTCCTATCACTACCCACCCATGTAAAGTTGTATCCTCTCCTGTTCTTCAACACCTTCTAGAATTGCATTCTTATAAGACTCAAGTCATCATTTTAAAAAAGGATTCTTAAGTGACTTTAGAAAAAAATATTATTGATGGACATTAGTATATTCTATGATAACAGGTTAGAAAGGAAAGCTGGGAAGACTTGCAGCTCTTCAGTGCATTCAGATAAAACCCTAGAAGCAAGCAGCATTTTCTACTTATTTGGGAATAAGAAGCCAATTGCAAGGAGGCTACAGAGATCTAGAGGAACCTTCACGATGAAGGAGGTTTAAAACATGTTGTAAAACAAGAATTGTTTTTATATTTTACTTTGTACTTTTAAGATGACAGCTTGGAGAAATACCATCATCTTCTCAACAGTAACGTGAAATTACCTTGAAATATTCTCTCAGTGTTTTTTGATACTGCATGTTCCCAGAAATAATGAGAGGCAGTTATTAAATAGATAGATATCTTCATCCAATTTATTTACACTATGATGAACGTAAATGAAGACGCCACTTACACACACACACACACACACACACACACACACACACACTGATGCCACCTACCAAGGAATGTCTCTTGACGTGCTCTCTTCGAGTAAACAGCTTCCCACAGATGTCACAACTGAAAGACCTCACGCCTGTGTGAATGAGCAAGTGTCTCTTTAGTGTTCTTCTGTATTTGGCTACATAATTACAGTGTGGACACTTCAGCTTGTTCATGATTAAAGTAGAGGAATCACCTACAAGAAAACAAGCCATCAGTAGAAAAGATGATGAAACAAGATTTTTTCAGTCTGTTCTGCCTGGTGAACAAAAATAAGCCAATGCCAAAAATGCCAAAACAATAAAGCACCCACGTGAGTTTTCATCAGCCACATCAGGACAATGTCTGCCTGCAGAACACTACAAATACTGGTGGACCCAGCATGTGTGATCTTGCTAGAAAAAAACACTGATTTGTAAACAAGGAACATTAAGTACAGATCATTTATTTGAAAATAGTTATTACTGCATGAGTCAGAGTAAGTGACTAGTTAGCAATATTCCACATTACAGAGGTCAACTATAATCAAAACCACTGTGCTCTGGATTCTGTGGCATTCAGACAGTTAAAACCTTCTCCCAATATTTTTCTTTTAGAACCACGTGCAAGAACCACCCACCTGGAGATACAAATCAGCATTACAATTTTAAAAAGGTATAACCAAGTAGAAATGAATGCTGACATTGACAAGAGGAGGACAGCAGAGACAACGTGATTCTGAAATAGCTACAAAGGTGATTAGTTCAGATCTTAGCTATTCTGCCCTCCAAATCTAATTTAGTTTAAGCATAGAAGAGAAAACAAGAGCAGAAAAGACTTCTGGAAGTAGCAATATCCCAGTTCTTTCTTATGAAGAGAGTTATTTGTATTGCTTGGACCAGGAACAACACAGCTTGCTCAAAGGTTATCTGCAAAACCAAGGTTTACTACAGCTGCTTTTTGCTACGTGAAACAGAAGAGCTTAGGATTCTGTGACAGTTGTGAAAAAGGACACATAGGAATAAAGATTTTGAGAAAAAGATACAGACTGGACTTACTGTGAGACAAGAATTTATGAACATGATTGTAACCATATACAAGGGAAGCATCCAAAAAGCTCAAAGGCCTCATTACTATGTATGAGAGTTTCTAAAATTCACACTGGCAGGAAGAAAGCAAAGCTGGCCAGTTACGTGCATGCCTCTGTGTAAGATGCACACAGTTAAAAAGCATCAGAAACTCATCATGACATCCAAGTTAAATTTTGCTAGTGTTCAAAGATGGGCCTTGGTATGTCTGAGTACTCACACAAGTTGTGTGTCACCACGTCATGTGATGGGTTACGTGGAAAAAACAGTTCCTGAGTTGTAGGGCTTTTAACTGCAGTCTTATATACATCAGCAGGGGTCTGGACAGATGGGCATCGGGGCTGTAGGACAGGAACTTAATAGCAGGCAGATCTCAAAAGGCCTGTTTTAATCTTTTTCTCACTAGTAAATTTCACCTCTGATGCCTCTATTTCTTCCCTTGTAAAACTGAAATTCCTTGAAGTAAACCATAAACACAAGTAATATCTCAAAGTGCTACAGAGAAGCAGGATCACTACTGCCTGCTCCTGTAAGTTCCTAAGTTCTCCCTCTTCTTACTACAATACATTTAAAGTATCTAGCAATAACACTCTTAGATGTGGTGTTTTTGGGATACATTCCAAATGTATTCAGACAAAATAATTACACATAATTGTTCACTTGAATAGGTTAAGGCACAGAAGCTGTATAACCTACTCTTCCACAACACCAATCTGACTGAAGAGGGATTTAGTTATAGCTGCACTGAGTTCAAAGCATTTACTGTGATTAAATTTTTATTTATATATAGGGAAGAATACTGAGATGCACTTTTATAGACAGATAAAAAGTTGATTAAGCATTCAAAGTCTATTTATCTGCTATTAGCTTACTAAGGAAGGTTAAAAAAAAAAACAACAGAACAAACTAACAACAATCACACCACTGAGGACTTCAGGCACCTACAAATTGAGGCACGATACAAGAGTTAAGTTATATTCTGTTTTCACCCTTCCACATATTTGAGTTCATTTTAGTTTCTCCAGATAAGCAGCTTTATTGACGTTAACCAAAAAGGTAAAAGGAAAGGGGGAAGAATACGTAAACACGTAATCTAATAAATCTCTATGGAAGTTAATCAAATATTACCAGCAGTGACACACAGGTTAAAGCACTTGTAGCAGAAGCAAAAGAAAGCAACCTGCTCTGTATCAGATATACTTGCCATTTTCCCAAGCATCCTTTGGCCAAGATTCTGGCAGCAATCCATACTTGAAATCACTTGAAGTACCCGGCAGCAGTCCATACTTGAAGTCACTTGAAGTACCCGGCAGTAGTCCATACTTGAAGTCACTTGATGTCCCCGGCAGCAATCCATACTTGAAGTCACTTGATGTCCCTATTACAGACACAGTACTACTTCAGCTTTCCTGCTTATCATCAGTCAGTTTGTATCTCAAACTATTTATCTTTCTTGAACCGCAACAAAAAAGTTTAAAAGGTTAAAACTCTTTCCATAGTCTTTCACAGTGAGATGAATAAAGCTGTATTCCTGATTTAAACGAAATTAGGTCTTTGGATTACTCTCCATGGCATCATTTTTTCTCCCCATCTTGAGAAATATTCAAAGCCTCTTTCATACCACAGGAGCATTTATGGTAAGGATATTTTATTCACTCACTATCATCATGACAGCACTTAAGAAGTTTTCCAGTGGTTTCTCTTCAGAGCTGCTATGTTCAGTGACTTCATCTGGTCTACCACAAACAGAGTACTGGTTGGTACAAACGTACATGTTTTCCATCAGAAGTGTGATTTGCTTTATTGCTTTAAACTATCTCAGTGGTATATAAAGTGCTTTACATACCTTTATTTATATAAAGTCTCCCTACAGCTACATCTAAATCCATTTTTGGATAATCATCCCCATTACTCTATAACCACATCAATTCAAGAGATCATAACTATTAGAAATAAACCAGCTTGAAATACTAGTTTGGGTCTTTAGACAAGCTCTTCATGAAGTCTGTATGGTTTTTGTAGCTTTTTCTCCCTCAGAAGAATAGAATTAGTCAGAAGCAAACAATAGCTTAAAAAGAAAAAGACATTTACTTGATTTTCGCTTGTTTGAATTCTACACTTCTGTAATATCTGCATGAGTGAAAACAGATTACATACAGCACAGAACTACAAATAGTTCACTAAAAAAAATCACAGTAGGCATTTGACAATCGTGTTTGTAGGTCAAAGACTCTTCTGGCAAGAGAGCAAATCAATCTTACCCCCGATCCTCAAGACAGGAGTTTGCTGGAAAACATGAACTCATAAATCCATTACTTTCCTCACAGGCACATAGTTGTTAAATAAACAAACTGCAATGGAAACTGGCACATTTCCTTTCATTCGTCCGGATGGTGCTGAGATCCCCACCACACTGGATTCCCAAACGTCACTGCTGTCAGAAACCTCGAGAGGGACTTCGCACAGCAAGTACTTCTATTTTTTCCTCTCAAGCCTGAGACAGTCGGTTTTAATAGTCCACAGACTTTTTCACTTGTCCCTATACTGCTCGTTCCAAGGATTTTTCCAGGAAAGGAAATTCTCTTAGAGGATAAACTACATTTTCATACAGCTAGTGGTAAAAGCAGCACACTGAAACACTTCTGACTTCCAGTTTTACTGGAAAAGAAAGTACAGATTATATATCTTCACAGTATTAGGCACAGACATTAGTCATATTTAAGGCTCAAGCAGTATTACAGTTGGCAGCAGCAATTGCAGCTGCAACACGAGAAGACAACGGTTCAAAAGAAAATAAATGAACAAATAGGAAACGTAGAATTTTACCAGATCTTTCACACAATGGCAAACGATAAGCAAAGCAGCCGCCAAACTACAGGGTCAGCATAAAGCTATTCCATCTATCTGAGCTTTTCACAAACTGAGCTGGATTGGACAAAGTAAGAGAAACACCAGTATTTTAACTAATCCACCTTAATATTTTGATATAAAAAGAAATTCAGGGACGTGTGGGGGAGGTAAGACACACTCTCCCTCCACATGATAGCGAGGGCAACAGTTTAATAAAACCCTTTTAAACTACAGACTCTAGTCGTTCTTATGTCCAAAAGAGGCAAGAACTCCTTACGCTAATTTGAAGCTATATACTCCTGCAATGCCAGCTCAACAGCTCAAGCAATAGAACAGATACCCTATGGACATGCCAACTAAACATTCCTTTGAGGTGAGCAGTAAACCTTCCTTCAGCAATGTGCAAGAAATGAAGAAGCACTGTTGTACATCTCCAGGCAACAGCAAAGAGACCTCAGGGCCCAAAGCCTCCGAATTAAAGCAGGCTTTGGGAGCTAACAGAGAAAAACAAAACTGTAGTTTAAAACATCAGACTTTTTATTTATAAGCTGTCTCCCTCTGCCCCAATAGAAATGCCCTGTCTCTTGTTGAAAGCAGATCTACAGTTGAAGTACTTTAATCACTTTCCTCTCCCTTATAAAAGGATTATCTGTAAAATCAACAGACAAGGACTGGACTGCTCACAGGTGTAGTGCACACTGTGCCCTGGCATATTACCTTACTTCCTTCTAAATAAGCATACACAAAAGACTGCCACTAAGTAAAGATAGACCAAACCAATCGCATTTATAACACTGATGCTTGGAGAGTTCTTCTGGAACTAAGAGGACACACATTGAATGTCATAAGGATCACTTCTGCTCACAGCTGATATTGAAGTTCGAACAAACTTAAGAGCTCAAATCCCTGGGTAGGTCTAGATCTTAGTCTAAGACACGGCAGAGAGCCAAAGAGACTTAAGACCTATAGTCTAGTGCAGATAAAAAGCTACTAAATCTGTCTGCCTCCAATGCAAAAAGACCTGCTGCAACATGAAAGAACACTGGTATAGATACCACAGGAGATAAGAGCTTGCTGCAGACATTTCAGTCCCTGCAGAATAAACAACTAAGTAAATCCTAATTACACCTAATACTTATTCCTTCTCAAAATAATTGCTGACTTAGAAAGCCTACTTTCTAGATAGAACGTATACCCAATGTGTTCAAAACAACTTCGAATGTCCAATGGCTCATCGACACAGGAAGGACAAAGAGTGCGACCAGGAAGCGCAATGCCTAGCCTCACGTAGCTTCCCAAGGTGGACACAGAGTCTACAGTCAGCCAAGCTCCATACTGTTGCTAAGCTATGGCATAAGATGCTAGAGGACCCAACGGCTCAAATCAGTCTCTCCCATTACCCCCACCCAGGCTACAGATCCTCTCAAACCTGCCTGCAGCTGCAGTCACTGTCTAGCTTGTTCCTGCCAAGGTAACACAGCCCAACTGATTTTGACAGGAGATTGAGGGCAACAGCATAAAGCAGTTGTGCTGGTAGATCAGACAGGGAGGGAGGGGGACACGAGAGAACACAGACAGTAGGGAGGAAAACAAAAAAAGGCAAGTAATTAGAAGCAATAATCTTCAGACCAGTTCATCTGTCTACAACCTTATCTTAATCAAAGCATGCCTTTCGACAGCGTTGTTCATTTCTAAAAACAGGTGTAAGCTAATAATTCAGATGTCAAAGAGCCTCCAACATCCAGCCGTACTCGGACTATGCAAGGAGAAGAGGTTTCTACCAGCAGTGCCATGTTTAAAAGAGAAACACAATCAAAAGAACAAGCCACAAACCGAAATAATAAGAATAAAGCAACACAAACTGATTAACTATCAGCATTAAAACTGTCAAGATGTCAGTCTGAGATTAGGACAGTTCCAAATACAGTTAAGTGGTTGCGTAGGTTTTTACACAACAGAAAAACTTACAAAAGACTTTTACTCTCTAAAACGTGCTCCTTCTCAGACAAAAGGATAAACTAGATTCAGGCACTGAAGTTTTAAAGGCAAGAGGTGAGGGGAGTATCGTCAGAAAGAAAACACGTGAGCAGAAACATCCTTAGCTTGACAGTTCTGCTTTTTCTGCATCCAAAAATCTGCTGAACTTCTGATAAGGAAAGAGACACTGGGTGGGAGAAGATTATGTAGATCAATGAGAAGATCAATGATAGAAGCCTTTGAACGGGTCATTACAGAAACGGATACGGAGGTAAAGTGCATGGAAGGATACAAAACTTCACAGGAGATATAGCTGTCCGTAATAAATAACTTCTGTTTTCTAAAAGCCATTCCAAAAGAGGAGGAAAAGGAACATGGCTTTTCCCTGCAACTTTTCTGACACTTGACTGTTTATTCAGACCAATTTAAAAAAGACAGAAAGTAGATCAGATAAGCGATTAGGCCAGAGCTTTCAAGGATTGTAAGGAGAGCACTGGTAATCTACTGATACAATCTGGCTTGCTATTAGAGCTGGATTTGTTGCTTATGTTAAGTAACATGTGACAGAAAAAAAACCAGCACTGCCAAGAGCTACATACTGGCAAGGTGAAGAAAATACATTGTGCTGTTCATTCCCAGCATATTACTCACTTCTTTAACCTTGCTTCTGAAAAGAGGTCAAAGCAGATTACTTCTGAACTGCCTCTTGCAACAGAACCCTCTGACAAACTTAAGATATTTTGCCAATCCAATCTACTAACACTCCAAATACCACTCCCAATGGCTTGTAATTTTTTGCTATTTCCCATTCATGAAAACTGGTTTACAGCTTTAACTACGGAAGCAGAACCACTAAATAACTCTGCCAGATAACCACCAACTGCTGCCAAACAATAATCTATTTATTTTACGTTCCTTCCAAAAGTCTGTCATTCACTGTCACTGCTTATAAAGCTAGCTTGCTGATCTCTCCATAAAGACTACAAAAGTGAAATGTGAGCTACTAAGGGCTGTCCTGATCCACATCATTTATTTGTGGAGGAGCTACTGATCTCAGGGAACAGACTCAAGGAAGAACTTAGATCAGAAGGAATCTCTGAAGGTCACTTAGTTCAACCCAGCTCAAAGCAAGGCTAACTTCAAAGCTGGATTATATCTGGCTTTGAACCTTGCCAAGTGTTAAATGTCTACAAAGACAGAGGTTCCATAAACCCTCTAAGAAATCTGCTCCAACAAAACTGCTTTCACAGTCCAGTCTGCCTACAGGTAGAATTTGCCTTGCTGCAACAGATGCTTTTCAGAGGTGCACAGAGGAAGGCAAGTGTCTGGACTCATGCTATAAAATCCACTTAAGACTGTGACAGACTGCAGGTATATGCCCCTCCAGCTTCCCTATGCTAAATAAATTCTGTATCCCAGCCTCTCCTCAACATTTCTCCAGTTTTTCAGATTTCCTTAAGTACCCACCCACTGGACTCCCTCCTGCTTAATGATACCTTGGGCTGCCCTGAACTGGGCACAGTATTTAAATGTGGTCTTGCAAGCCCTGGA